AATTGTGGCTCTGGTTTCTCTAGGGCATGTTTCCAATAGTGGAATTTCTGAGTCAAATGAGATTTCTATTTCCAACTTTTTGAGAAAGTGCCAGGCTGCCTTCCATAGTGGTTGTATAAGTTTATATTCCCACCAGCAGTGAATAAGAGTTCCAATAGCTCCACAATCTTAATAGCATTTGTTGTTTGCTGCCTTGTTGAACTTTGCTGTTGCTGTTGGGATAAGATGATATGTCACAGTTGTATTTTCACAGAAATTATTTAAATTACAATTATAGGGTATGATCTTGAAGCAAAGAAATAGTAGATGTACTTTCTTGAACAAAACAGACTATGAGTGTCTGCTATATTTCCAAGAATGACTGTAGCTCTCACTGCCTTCAGGTTTTTAATTTTCATTTAGGAAGACCAAATAGTTGAAGATTGATGCAGACTCCATGATAAAAACAACAGTCAATAGTGTTACTACATTTTTATATGCCATAAATAGAAAAGGAAAATGAGAATCAATTTATATTATAAACTAGGGAGTGAGAGAGAGAGAGAGGTTGAAGCAATAAAGATAAAATATGTTAAAAAAATATAATGTGTTTTGGCACTAGAAAAAAAGTTAATCTTATCCAAGCTCTATAAAAGACATAATCCCATTTGGGAAATCAGCTGTGAGGGACCTGTCCAAAGTGCTGAAGAGCAACAACTTTAGTTTGAAGGCTACAGTGTACCTGATCCACACCACAGTCTTCTCAATTACTTGCATCTCAAAGCTGGACAATGGCTAAGGATGAGAGAAGAATTGATGCCTTTGAGTTGTGGTGCTGGAGAAGAGTACTGTATATTATGGGATGCCGAAAGAGCAAACAAGTTTGTTAGGGAGCAAGCATGACCAACAAACTCTTTGGCAGCAAGGACGGTGAATACTCATCTCACCGACTTTGACATGTTTTTAGGAGGGGTCAATCTTTGAAGAAGGATGTCATGCTTGGATCGGTGGAGGGTCACTGTAGGAGAGGAAGATGGATTGATATGGTGACTGTAACAAGGGGCTGAAGCAAATCACAGGTGGTGAGGCAAGCACAGGAGAGGATCAGGTTCAGATCTGCTGTTGATAAGATTGCTGTGAGTCGTAGTCTGCTGAATGAGACATAGCAACAACAACAGATCTATAAAATCCACTAAATGTAACAATGATGTGACGTAGCCACCAACTGCCCATTTATATTCATACCACGTCAAACTGCTAGGGTGAAAACCTTCTGCTCTGGTTTACTGGAAAATGGCCCCTCGTTCACTTAAGGAGTCATTGTCTGGGAAGTTTGTTGTTAAAGAGGACTCTGACCCTGTGTATAACACTGAAACCTTGCATGGTCTGTGCCATCTTTATAATCTCTGCTTAAGCCCTTTGTTGTTGCTATTGTGTCAGTTCATCTTGTTGTGGGTCTTGCTCGCCTTGGAAGACCCTCCACTTAATCTTTCAGGCATTGGCTTTTTCTGATACCATGCCTGAGTTACATGAAACAAAGTCTCACCATTCTCCACACTAAGACACATTCTGACTGCTCTTCTGCCAGGGCAGATGAGTTTGTTCTTTTGGCAGGCCGTGGTGCATATCCAAGGCGCTCTGCACCACAATTCAAAGCATCGATTCTTCAATCTTCCTTATTTATTATCCAACTTTCATAAATATTGGAAGCAACGGAAAATATCATAGCTTGGATCAAGTACCTCTTAGCCTACAAAGAGACATTCTGTATCCTTTTGGAGAGGTCCTTGACAGCAGATTTCCCCAAATAATATGGTTTTTTGATGTAGGAAGCTGAGATCTTTAGGAGGACAAATTAACATCAAAACCACACACCCACATAGAGATGCCATTAATTTTCACAGGCAGTAACAAATTTAGCATCCTAATTGTGATGTATAGTTTTCTGGTACAAAATTCATACTTAACTACATCTAAGCATGAATTATTTTGTGTATTTTCAATTATGTAAAGAAAGGATGAAAATTCCTTGAAATTCTTTATGTATGTTTTTCAATGACAAAGCAAAATATTACAATGAAACATGCAAGGAGCTGGAGTTGGAAAATCAAAAGGGCCAAACTTGTTCAGCATTTCTTAAGCTCAAGGAACTGAAGAACAAATT